TACATCACCAGTCCAAATGTGCTGCTATAATCGTATTTTCTTTAGTGGGGGGCATTCGGATACTGGGGAGGAGGTGTGGATAAATAAATAAATAAAGGAACTTCTCTAAGAAAAAAAAACCCCAGGGATCACTCCAGTATATATTTAACCAAACTGCAATTAAAGGCAGTATCAGCTTGTATCATTTAGAGCTAATGCAATAATAATGGTAAATTACAGGGCCAAAATGGCTTGTGATAGCAGCCTCGGTATTCCCAGTAGTTTCCTCGTCGTTGTAATTAATGCCAGGGTGAGCAGTTGGTAAAAGAAAATTTCGTGGAAGGGACATCTTGGTTTTAATTCGAATAAAAATAGACTGCTTTGCACACACCATTGACTCCTGCATTTTTCCATCGAAATATCGATTTTACGGCCGATCTGTAAAGAAAGAAAGAAAGGAAGAAAGAAAGAAAGCTTGACATTGTTTGCCGTGTCTGCAGGTTTTGTTCCGAGAGATGGTCGTAGTATCATTTTACCTGACAAATGGGAACAGCGCTACATGCTTAAAACGGGAAAGAGAGCATTCTGTTGGGTGCCTTTTTTGACACGAGATTAAAGTAGCACCTTTACCAGAAGAAGAAAAAAAGATTAATATTTTCTAAGTTAACTGGAACAGTCCAGAAACGGACAAATGCATAAAATAGGACAGATTGATTCCTCTTTACTGTTTTTCTTATAGAATATGTATATAATATTTGTAAACACTCATCTGTTTAGCTAGCCAATTAACGTTAAACCAATGTTTGGACTTATTACACATCTGCTATAAACATGAGTAATGCATTGCTTTGCAGTAAAAATACTGATTAGTATGAATTAATCCATCTCATATGTGGATTAAAAGGCATTTAAATATGTTGTTTTAAGAAGTTCTCATAACCCTGGATGCCATATTTAAAAAACAAACATCAACATGCAATATGTGCAGCCTTTCAAACAAATAAGTTCGCCTCGATTTAAATAACATTTATTTTACATGACCAAACACAATAAATAACGTAATATACAAAGCTTTATAATTATTGCACATTTGTAAAATATTTTACAGTGAGTTCATACAGCCAGCAATATTCAAAGCACAAAGACTTTATTTACAGATTCATACAATAACCAGGTCCAAGGGACCTAACATAAAACGAATTTATGTTAATTTTACCAACCAGCATCCTTATCGATCATTTGATAGACACCTGTCTATCAATTCGTATTTTGGGAAAATGTAAACATTATTGCCAAAATTATCGTATATACCATCCAAAACATGTGATCATAGCGAATGAGTTCAACAATCGAAAAGGTAGAGCTGGCAATAGAGTGCCATGTTTTGGTCTATTTTATTTAGCCTTAAATTATATATTAATAAAAAATTTAAATGTAAACTCAGTGAACAACAGCTGGTATAATCCATTTTACATAAGTAGTCTTGCTATTTATTTTACAAAATGAAAAAAATACGCATTAGGTATATCCTATTTTAGTTTAAAGTCCTCTAAACATTAAATGAACACATTTTGTCAGGAATCCACCCCAGGAGTCTTGGGATATATTTCTTTCCCAACCCTCCCTCCCGCCGAAGAAATCTATTCCCTTTGACAAAAGTCTACGATTTATGTTCACTGAACAAAACAGGATAGCCTGTGAAATAATTTCCTGAAAAGTCCATTATTGGTATATGAAAAAATCCAGTGTCTTAAAAATAGAAATATTTCAGGACGGGGGGGGGGTGCGCGCGCGCGGGCGAGCGCGCGGGCGTCTGTGTGTAAACAAGCAATAGCAAGTTAGATGAAGGCTTCAACTCTTCAGAAAAATCTCATTATGTGAAGAGTGAAGTGGCTCTGTAGGGAGTATTATGGAAATATCTGGGTTTGATTTAATGAGGCTCTTCACATTGGTGGAATATCAACTTAACAGAGAAAAGTCTACCCAGGGCGTCCAAGTTACCAAAATGAAAATTGGCAATTGAGATGATAAGAACGTGGCTTTCTTTTGCGAAATCACTTCAGGTAACAGATATAACATTAAATAACATACATTCTATGCACCAAGAACAATGTTTTATGTACCAAGTCTCTTATCTGTCTCTTCTAATGACTTCCCTTAGCGGGTTGTTAGTACTTGACAGCAGGTCTCTGCGCGGGGAACTTTTTTCCAATTCTACATTCAAAGGAGGTCCATCAGAGAACATGATTGGCAATTTTCGTCATAATCTGCACATTATTAGCATCAGAATTGACATGGCAGTAACACTGGTGATTTTTGATGTGCTTTTCTTCAAGTTCAAGGAAGTCCCTCCAGTAGCAGAGGTTTGGTATGGTAGGTCTCAGTTACCCAGGGGTGGCTTTTCAGAGGCTAACGCATAATAGACATGTATGGGAAATAAATCCAAGAGCCATTTTACCAAAGGAAAGAAACAAACAAAAACCATTAAAGTGAGGAAAGTACCTAGGGTCAATGCTTCAGAACAACGTCCTATACCTGGAGAGATTCAAGTATTTCCCAGATCGCGTGGATTATGGTAGTTGGAAACCACGAGTTTTAAACTGCCTCTCCGATCCTACAGAGCATCCTGTCAATCTCACATTTCCCTTCCCTTGCCCGGCCCAGCCACAGCAGCCTCATTAGCTACCGCTCCTGTCTGCACACCAGATTCGCGAGGCATTTCCAATTCGAACTCAAAGGAAATCAGAAGGAAACCGAAACCCTTTTCTCTTCCGCTGCTCCCTCCCTCCCCATTTCCAGACGGACACGTGGCTAATGGCTGCAGGCCTCGCTCAGTCCTTAGGCCACTTTTGCCCTCAGAGACACCCCTGCAATTCCCACGAGGGTCACCTGGATGGCCACACCAGATTCGCGAGGCATTTCCAATTCGAACTCAAAGGAAATCAGAAGGAAACCGAAACCCTTTTCTCTTCCGCTGCTCCCTCCCTCCCCATTTCCAGACGGACACGTGGCTAATGGCTGCAGGCCTCGCTCAGTCCTTAGGCCACTTTTGCCCTCAGAGACACCCCTGCAATTCCCACGAGGGTCACCTGGATGGCGCCTCGGGCGGCCTTTGGCCCCTGCCCCGCGCTGCCTGCAGCCTGCCAGCTCCTGGG